CACATCTCTCTGTCTTGAATCTCCAAAACAATGTCTATATTACTCTTGCCACAACTTGCCAAGCCATTGATGCATTTATCTGAGTAACTAAAGTCTTGCCCAACCAGATCTGAACAGTTCTTTCCCAAGTATTCTGACATATTCCTCACCTCTCCAGGTCCTTTGCTTTGGACCTGTGAACCTGCTCCTCACTCCCAGAACACTTCTCCAATATGTGGATGATCTTTCTTTGCAGTCTGTCTTATGACCTTTATAACATACCACCTTACTTAACTTTTTGGCTATATAAAGATGCTGAGTATCTTCTAACTCCCAAATGCCTCCTCCCAAGAAACTTACTTTGGCCACACCCTGATTCATCCTTCCTCTGGCATACCTCAAGTTTAAACACTCTGATTCAGGGCATAGCTCCTCCCCAAACTAAACAGGACCTTCTGCCCTTATAGGGCATAGCAAGTCTTCTGGATCTTTAACTTCAGTGTCTTAGAAAATCTCCTTTATCAAGCTATTCATGGTCCTTTTACAGAGACTCTGAAACCCTTCTATCCTACTGAACTATTGTCTGGACTTTATGTAAAACTTGCTTCAGACAAAATAGGTACAGAAAGGAGCTTATATTTGAATCTAGCTACTAGGACTTCAAAGTTTGCCTTGTCTACTACACTTATTCTTTTCAATATAATTGACAAAATTGCTTGCATTTGTCTTATATGCTCTGATATTTTAAAATAAGCATATTTGATAATTGCTGCACTGAATCAACTAATACATGGATTTTCTTGTGTACTTTTTAAAAAATCAAGCATAATATTTATCCTTAGACATTTTTAAAAATGTAATACATAGTTATAATCACAATGTTACATATTAGATCCTTTGAATTCATTCCTCTATCTTAAGTTTTGTATCCCTTGACAAACATTACTTCTTGTTCTAGTTTTAATGTGTGGTAACTACCATCTTCAGTCTCTGAGGTAACCTTTTTCATATTAGACATATTAATGAAATCATATAATATCTATATTTTGTGCCTGTCTTCCCCCCTTAAAGATGCAATATCCTGGAGTTTCATCAATGTTGTAAAAATATCAGCAGGATTACATTACATTTTTATCAAAGAGTATTTATGTATATGTACCAAATATTTTCTTTATCTGTTCACTCACTGATGGACATTAAGATCAATTCCATTTCTTGGCTATCATAAATAAAGCTACTATGAACTTAAGAACACAGAATTTTCTTTAGTATGTGAACTTCATTTTCTTTCTTTGAATGTATAGTTATATTGGAGTTTTTTGATCATACAATAGTTTAGATTTTGGTTCTGAGATTCCTTCATATTGTTCATACTGGTTGGAACCATTACAATATATGACAGTAAACCAACATTCTCTTTCCTCAACATGCCAATGACTTTCAGCTCATGCTTTTGATAATAGCTGTTCTACATGCAGTGGAACAGACTCTAATTGTGGTTTTGACTTACATCACAGTAGTAATTAAGGATACTGAGCATTTTTCATATACTCATTAGCTATTTCTATATACTTTCAAGATAAATCTTTAGTATCTGTCTATTTTAAATAAGATCAATTTCTTGATTTTGAGTTGTTTGGGCTCCTTATGTATTTTATATATTAGCCATTTATTATTAGCGGTCTTTTTATTTATTACTATCACCTTTTATGTAGTATTAGTCAATGGATTTTTTTTCTCTTATGAGTGTCTTTTGGCATGTGTTTTTGTTTTGGTTTTTTTTTTAATTTGGTCTAATCTATCATTTTATCTTTGCTTTTGTTGTCTGTGCTTTTGAAGTCATATCTAAAAAACAAATAACACTCAGACCAATGCCATAGACATTCTCCTCCTATGTTCTCCTGTAAGAGTTTTATACTTCCAGGACCTTCATTTAAGTCTTGGGTTAGTTTTGTATTGGTTTTCCCATGTAGTGTAAAGAAAGGGTGTAATTTTATTTTCTAGGTGCTCAGGTGTCCCAATACTATTTATTGAAGGTACTGCCTTTTCCTTCCATGAATTTTGGATGTCTTTGTTCAAGATTTATTCTCTTTGCTCAGGATTGCCTTAGTGATTGCAGGTCTATTACTTTCTAAATGGACAATTACTTCCTTTCATTTAATTGGATCTTCAGCAGGCCTGACAGCACTGATCAATCCCTCCTTTCAGGTACATTTTATTCTTTGCTCTTCAGTACTTCTCTTCTATGTGCTTTTCCTTTGCTGCACCAGCTCCTCTAGCCCTACTGCCTTCCACATTCTTTTACCCATATCTAGTGCTTACTTCTTCCCCCTTCCAATCTGTGTGGGTCATTTCCCTACCATAGTTCCATTCAGTTTCCAACTTTCCATTCAACCTATAGACTTAGAACTCTCAGGTTCATGTTTACAGCCCAACTCTTTCCTCTAAGTGCCACTTCATAAGTAATTCTCTCATGTACCACGATAAGCATGATTGCTGTATAAACCTCACATTTACGATGCCTAAAACAAATATAATGTTCCCCTCTTTCCACCTCTCTCCTGCCAACCATGTCCTTTTTCAGGCCTTCTATATTACATCATCAACTATTTCTTTATTTTTGTTCTTTGAGACAGGTTTTCTGTTTGTAGCCCTGGTTGTTCTGGAGCTCACTCCATAGACCAGGCTGGCCTTGAATCTGGAGATCTTCTTGCCTCTGCCTGCTGAGTGCTGGGATTAAAGCTATGCCCCATCACAGCCCTGCAAACCACCAGCTTCTAATTGCTCAGTTTATGATTAAGTTCTTCATTCGTACATCCCTCACCTGCTGGTTCTCGTCATCTCTGCACTAGTCAGCCATCTACTCTTGGCTCCTTTTGCTCTTAGCTCTTTGCCTCCTGGAGCCATGTGGTCATGAATTTCTACTCCTTCTCATCTTTCTCACCTTAGTCACCATGGAGCTGACTGAGCAAGAGGAAGCCTATCCTATCCAGAGATTTTCCCCTCTAAAGAAAGAAACAGCCAATTTCTTTCTCAGCCATCATATGAGCCCTATATTTCTGAAACATTCTTCTCAACCTCTCCCTTGTTCACTCCTGACCCCTCAACCACTCTGGCCATTATTGTCAGCATAGCAGAACACTCCCCAGTTTCAGAAACAGTCCATAGCCTTTCTTTTTCTTTGTTCGCTTTCCTTCTCTAGATCTTCGTAACAATGATGCCTCCTTATAATCCAGCCTGTATTCAAACTACATCCACAGTAGAAAAAGCCCTGAAATGTTCAAATGTAGACATGAGTTCTTTCCCTGCTCAATGACTCTCAATCTCTCCACTGGATTTTCTTCAAATATTTACTTCCTCTATAATTTACTAGGGTGCTTATTATTTATTTTCTCCCACCAATATAAGCTCTCTGGGGACAGGAAAAGGTGTTGTCTTATTCATTTTGTCCCCAGTACTCAAAGCAATTCGTGATATGTGGTCTTCACTCATTTTAACTGTCACCAAGTATAGTACAGCAGGTGCTGTAACTTGTATATGATAGCATAAAACATGGTGGTTTGGGGACATTAAGAGCAAGTGACTCATGCTTAACTAAGAGAATACTTTATAGAATAGAAAGTGACAAAGTGCGTTCAAAAGTCTGTGTCTTATTTATTTTAGCTTCTGCTTAGATACATGCAGTTGAATCAAGCGTAGAGAGCATCTTCCATTGGTAACTATAGTGACACAAATATCTGTGGTGTTAGAGATCGCACCTGCTTCTTGACTGTTCTGACAAGTGCCTGTCAAAGGTGCATATCCCCTCAGTTTCTCACAGAGGGCTAAGAAGTTAGACCTATAAGATTTTCTCCTTTAGAAAAGCTTAAGCAAGCTACCTGAGTTGCTGCCAACTCCATTGCTCATTTCTCACAGGCAAGTTAATATAAATGCACGATGTGCAGATCTTACTCATGGGAAGAGGAAGTTCAGAGTGCTTACAACATTAAACTATGTCAGCTTTCCTAATCACCTATTTAAATTCCGATTTCAATGTTACATTGAAGTTTTCAGAAAGCATACTCTTTCAGTGGATGCACGCTTAATTTTTAAAGCCACGTTTTATCTTAGGAGATGAAACTTGGTGGTTTATCGTCCCACAGAAAGAACAATACGCTGAAGAGAAATATGGGGAGAAAGCAGTCCTGATGTAGACACACTAGAGTCCTTTCAAAGCATGTCATGAGATTCAGAGTTTTCAATCACCCCCAAAGCTCTTTCGGTCATCTTACTTGGAGGTTAGAAAAATGGTGATGGGAGCCCGGCAGCTTATAAGTCCAGCTTTCCTAGTGGCTGGCTTCCAGATGTAATCCATCCATGTGCTGCCTGTGGTTACTGCCATGTGGTGGCAGTTGTCTCCTTAGACAAAATGGAAAGAGGGGTGATTGTGGGTCCTGACACTGTCTGGAACATGTAGGGAAACAGTGGCACTTTCAGACTCTCCTAGTTAGTTTATTTCTAGGGAAACTGGATAGAAAATTCTGAGAATGCAGTGCTCACACAATGTTACTGCTTCTCAAGAGGGTGTCACCTCCCAAGGCCTAACCCTGTCCCCTGAAAAGGCTCCCAATTGTTACATCACACTGCTGGGAGTGTGCAATGGGCTTTAACAAGCCTGCTGCAGAGTACCACATGCAGGGGTTTATGTTCTTGTGATTAACACACTGAACAGAAAGGTGTGAAATACACAAATAAATACGTTTTTATGGCTAGACAGAGTGCCTCTGTATTTGAGACTATATAACAGCTCATTCTAATCCAGTCACTGATTGTTCCTGCTTCGCCAAGCATTTGCTGATGGAAATGGTCTCAGCACATTTAGAGAAGAAATCAAATCTGCATTATGGAGTCGACATCTTTGTATTTCTGGTTCCATGCATCGCAGATCCATTATACAGCTATATTTGATGTGTTTTTAATTAAAACCAGGAAGTGTCCAAAGCTTCTCAACGTTGTTCCATCTCTTGTTTCTGTTTGCACAGCTCACCATGTTAGAACTGGGACTTGCGAGGTGGTGGCGCTGCACAGATGCTGTAATAAGAACAAGATAGAAGAACGGTCCCAAACGGTCAAGTGTTCCTGCTTCCCTGGGCAGGTGGCAGGCACTACACGAGCTGCTCCATCTTGTGTGGATGGTGCGACCTCTTCCATTGCTCCTTATAATAACATGGTTGGAATTGGAACCCCACTATAATGCTGTCTACTGGAGTCATTCTGAGAGGACAACACTGTAAATCAAATGGCAGAAAGGAAGCTATTTGGGGGTATTTTTTGTAACATGAAAACCTCGCATAGTTGTGCTACCAAAGCATTATAACGAGGTTCCAGTCAGTCAATGATATTGTTGCCATGAGATGTAGATTTGCTGGTAGATAGGAGATCCATAAATTACTTTGGAAAAGCAAGATGGCTAAGGATGGTGAAGTAATGTATGTTTAAAAAACTGAGCAGAGTTTAAGAATAAGGGAAAAAAAGTAAACACCATGTACACGGATGATTGGCTGAAGATAAAATTCACATCAGAGGACTTCAATGGAGATGGATGTAAATATTGGTTTCTTTGTTTGACTGTTCATATTATAGTAGATTATAAATCTTTGTATGAGGCTATTAATTGTTGCATGGTAAACAGTAATTTGTTATGTGACTTATTCCTTGTGAAGAAATTACTGTTTACAATAAAAAAGAGAAAAACATATTAGGTCTACTAACACTATCCTGGTTTTTAGCTTGCTCATGGGGATCATTTCATTGACTTGAAAATATTGATTCATTCAGGCGTGGGCATAGTTTATTATGTATTTATATAAATCAGTGCAAGGTCTCTCAATATATCAGTCAGATGAAGTTTCTGTTTTTACTTAAAACATTCTTCAACATTGTCAGTACAGTTATTACTTTCTGTTGAAAAACCTAGAAATTTATTAATATTTTGTATATAATATACTCTCAATATATCCCATGTTAGTTGTTCTTATTGTGGTAAAATAGTCTGGTATGGTGGCATATGCCTTTTATCCTAGGGAGTCAGAGGCAAGTGGATCACTGTAAGTTTGAGGCCAGCCTGGTCTACAGAGTGAGTTCCAGGATAACCAGGAATGCACAGAGAAACTCTTATCTTGAAATAGGGTATCTTATATCTTTTGAAACACACACACACACACATACATACACACACACACACAAACACACACTCACACTCATACACATATATATGAGACAATTCTTGAAAATACAATGCATATTAGTTAGATCAGTGATTTTGCCCTGTGAGTCCCAAATAGAGATATTGAGTTAATTTTTCTCTCTCCTCATAGCATCCATAGTGGAACAAAAATGGTGGTGTCATATGCAGCCATGTCTGGAGGGAGAAGAATGTAAAGTTCTTCCAGATCGCAAAGGATGGAGCTGTTCCTCTGGAAACAAAGTAAAAACAACTAGGGTAAGTGGACAGCCAGCATAGGAGGGAAAACCCTGAATTAATGGGTAACAGGATATGTGCCACAGTAACTTAAGTGGCGTTTGAGGAATGAGAGAGCATAGCTTTTTATAATGTGAATTGTCCATTCATTCATTTATTCATAGCACATTTTTATTTCAGAATTTCATCTTCTATCAACATTTCCACCTCCATGTTTTCTGATTAATGAAATAATTTTCCTCATGAGATGTTGCCAGTGGCATGAACACCCCCTAACCCCATGATCCATTCTGAATGGAAGACAACTGGCCATAATCTCTGTTCTTCTGTTGAGTAGTTATGGGAATACATTCTAGCAAAGACTAATTAGTTTATACATGGCTTCACATCTATTTATAACTTGGGTTCCTTCTGTTTTGTGAAAACAATTGTTTTGACCTTCCTATGTTTTGGATTGTTAAATAGCTTTCTAAGGGTTAAGGGTTACAGGTTATGGGTTAAAGATTAAGAGTTATAAATACTTTCCATTAGGGTAATGGAAAGGCAATTCAGAATTTCAGGATCACAAAATGATGCTCAGGACAGGGGTGCATTTCTATTCTCAAGAACTTCTCTGGAAGTTGAGAGAGGAAGGAAAAGTCATTTCATTTTTAATTTCCCCATTGACTACATGAATTTTCTGGACTAGAAGAGTTATAATTCCTTTTAAAATATAAAAATATAAATTTAAATACAATTATTTAAATTATTATATACTTATAAATACATACAAAAGAATTATATATAATTGTAAGTAATTAAATTTAGAATTTTCATACTTTTCCTTTTGCTTCGAAGGAAAGTTGGCAATTGGTTAAAGTTGGATAATTGAATTATAAAACAAAATAGTTGTATAAGGATGTTTTATAAAGAGTGATACCAAACTAGATAATATTTAATTGACATGAAAAAGTTTTTAAATTTTCTGTGTATCTTCAAGTGATTATTTTATTGATGTTCCCAACACATTCTAGTCTGTCAAGTAATACGAATGCATTGACAGTAGACACAGATGTGGCCATGTTTTGAATAACGCAGATAAAACCATACTTTGTTGTTTTGCCAAATATTCTTGACTCATCTGTTGGTTGGATTTTGGCAAATATTTCCAAAATTATACCAAGTAAGTATACGATCAGTTAATTAGAATAATTATATTATTAAATGTGCTTGAAAAAATTTCTAATTTATTCTGACTTGTTTAAAAAAACCCTTTTTTTCTGATATAAATTTTTGTAAGGTATTTATTAACATGAATTTATTTTCCTCTCATATTAGTTCTATTAAAAATAAGACTTGTGAGAATTTACTAAAGATTTGAGATTCTGAGACACATTGACAAAATAAATAAGTAAAAAAGGTGCACTCTCTCTAGCCATTGCATGTTTTCATTACTTCAGTAGACAAGGGGAAGCTGACATTTATGGGACCCATAAACATATGCTGCACACTGAACAAGGTGCTTTAAATACATTATCTAATTTACTCCGCTTAATAGCCCCATAAAGATGATATTTTAATCTCCATTTTACCGGTGAGTAAACCAATACTTTCGCAAAGTTAAGTAACTTCACAAGGTCATAACAGTAATTAATTGAGGGGATATGACTCAGCCACACAGCTCAGTTCTCAAAATTGATCCCTTAATCTGTACCTCTAACTTAACATTAACATACGACTTAATATATTTAAAGTCAGCGATCATGATAAAATGTTCCTATGGTTCTTTTCGTAGGAGGTAGACCTTTAAGAATATATTTAACTTTCTGGATCATTGAAATAAAAAGGTCATGACAATGCTGTTGGAATTCTCAAAAATTATTTTCCAATGGTGCCCTCTCCTTCCCAGTTGGCCATATTCTCACTTACCTAAAATTAAAGCTGAGCTTCACCTTCACAAAAATTTCTCCAATGTATAGTAATAAGATGTTATAAGAGTAATTAGTCATGGGTAGGAAAACCCCATCTAGATCCCTATAGGCTGCAACATTTTCAGATTTTCTTTCATTTTCTTCACTAAGAACAGCTGGTAATGGAGGTCCTTATAGAACATATCAATCAACATTATCCTGGGATTTAAAGAAACAAAACAACAACAAAAACAAAAGCAAACAAACAAACAAAAAAACCTGTGACCAGGCAGGAAGTTCTTCCAATACGAGTTCCCTGGTAGAGTTCATGTTGTCCAGAGTTGATAGTGACAATGGTGGCTTTATGAAGTCGGGAGCAGAAACGAAAACCCCTCAAGTGTTCACGGTACTAAAGCTGGTCTTGAGTTCCTTTTCCCATTTTATCAAATCTTAGTCTCTCTTTCTCCCTTTCTCTTCACCCTCCCCTCCTTTTCCATGTCTCCCTCTCTCTCCTTCATCTTTCTGCCAGGCATACTACCAAATTGCCTCCCCGGCTGTCAGACAAAAGTCTGTGTTTCCCTTTTTTCAAGTCAACTGCTACCCAGACTGCTTTGCCTCCTCTGTGCCTCACCTGTTACCATGTTTTTGCTGACTCTATTCTTACCAGTTCAACCTTCACTTCTGAAAGCAGACAAGAAAAGACTACTTAAGGAAAGCCTCCTCATATTTAGTATGATATTACACCAGGACAACATGCTCAGAGCATTGTGTCCCTTCTAATTCAATAAGTGAGCCTGGGAAGCAAGCTTATATAACCCCAAAGGGTGTTTGGATTGACCACAGCCATTGATGCTTGTTTTGAACCAATGACAGCCTCATCTCTTAACATGAGTCATATTGGTCCCTCTGATAAGTCAGTGGAGAAGTTCTGCTCTGATAACTTAGGTGGTTGCAGGGTCATCTAGAGTTCCTTGAAACCCATGATAGCACAAAGTCTGATAGAAATTGTCTCAACCTACACCGACTGTGTCTCTAGGGGCATGGAGATGATCTGTGGTTGTCAAATAGTTTTCTTACATCACTGGAGGGTTAATCTAACAGTTGGTACCAGCAGTGGAAGGCAAGAAGTCTGAGTGGGTATTGGCCAACATTTCTGTTGCTTAGGGCATTCAGGACTGCAAAAATGAGTCCAACAGCTGCAAACTAGGGAGTCAGATTGCTCTGTGCCTCCAGCATCTCTGCTGATTGGAAAATGGACATCAGAAGACAGGCTTACAAGGAGAACTGAGTGAACTTACTGTTAACATTAGTAGTGACTTTAACAGTGTTTATCAGTGTTTAACATCAGCTCTGCACCCAAGTGAGAGGTGAGTTCTCTTCATCCACCGCACATTAATACAGTTGTATTTAATCCAGTGCATGGATTAAATTGCTTCTAAGATTTCTAGTGATTCTGAGGCTAGAAATTTCATTTTAGAAATGAAAGTAGGCCGTAAGGGAGAAGATAGAAATGATTTGAAAAAAGGAACTTTTTGAACTATCAAAGTGAATTATTTCCTTTTCTTTTATAAGAAACATTTTTATCCTTAATTGTTTTAAAATGTATTATTTTAATTTTTCTTGCATATTGATAACTTTAAAGTTTCTTTATCTGTATGCATTCATGTCTTTGTGTTGGTCAGAGAATATGAGTATAGATGCCCCAGAAGGCTAGAAGAGGACTTCCGGTTTGGCGCTGGAGTCACAGGGGTAGGGTGGCCCAAATTGGGCTCTGGGAAGTGAACTTGAGTTCTTTGTAAGAACAATAGATGCCCTTAACCACTGAGCTATCTCTCCGACTTTTGTTTCCTGGTCTTCATGGCTTTAATATCCTGTATTTTTATAAGGCTAATTTTGGATATATGAATAAAATGAGCATAGAGAAACAAAACAGGTATTTAATTTTTTAAAAAAAGCTTGTAAAACATGGTTATTTAGATATTTTTCAATGAACTGAATGCGATTATAGTGTACTTGGAGTGTACTTGTATGGTCAAAATTGCACAAATATGAATGTTTAGTCGAATGTTGCTATAGTGCCATAAAAAGCCAAAGATTCCAATGTCATAAGGTTTGTGTTTTCCACTGAAATAATTTTTAAAAAGGAAAGGCAAGAAGAAACATCCTTTAAATAGGTTGGAGCACAGAATTATGGCACAGAGAGAATTCTCGACAGAGGTGATTTCTGCAAAACATAAGCAGTTATAGTATTAGAAAGAAGCCTAAGTAATTATTGTATTCATTGCTATTGTCTTAGGATTTTATTGCTGTGAACAGACACTTTATACAATGTAACTCTTATAAAGGACGACATTTAATTGGGGCTGGCTTACAGGTTGAGTGGTTCAGTCCATTATCATTAAGGTGGGAGCAGGGCAGCATCCAGGCAGACATGGTGCAGGAGGAGCTGAGAGTTCTACATCTTCGTCGGAAGCTGCTAGAAGACTGGCTCACACGTGGTTAGGAGGAGGGTCTTAAAGCCCACACCCTCAGTGACACACTTCCTCTAACAAGGCCACACCCACTCCAACAGGGCCACACCTCCTAATAGTGCCACTCCCCGAGCCAAACACATTCACACCACCACAGCTATCACTATCCACTTAACAAGTCTTGAGTAAGACAGCTAGGGCTGTCTGAGTCTGATGAAAACCATTATTCCTAATTCTGCAAGTCCTGGACACAAAAGGATGCCGAGAAGAGAGGCTAGAAAAGGTTACAGAGTAGCTTGGGAGCTGCTATCAGCCCAGAGGCTATTTCTGTTTCTGAGGCAATGTGTGATGGTCATATGGGATTTTTAACACAAGCACAATGGCTGGGGATATGAATAAAAGTTTCCATAATGTACATCCTCCCCTTTAATTGCCCATATCCAATCTGGAATGCTCAGGTAAGTCTCACAGTGGAAGGAAAGCAATCAGCCAACACCAGCAATGATGCATGCAAGGCCTCAGCAGGGGAGATGATATCTTCTAGAACTTAGTAGAAACCGGGGCTGGGTGAGTTCATTTGAGAAATGAGTAACCTCATTGCCGTTCTCACAAATGTGAATTATACCCTGCCTCTGCCTTCATACTCCATTCAGAGAGCTCG